ATACACACACACAAGGTTTTTAGAATGTTCATCCCTAATCTGTGGGTATTCAGTTCATTCCCTATCACAATAAATGTAACTGGCTAACTTTGTTCTCCAGATTTCCCGTGATTCAGGTTGGCTGCTTTATCCTTCATTCACTTCTATGTTCAGTAAGCATAGTTCCTGGTGAGGAAAGCTCCACAGTCCATACATTCGGTGCCTCTCTGGGTAACCTCTGGCTCTCTCTTCTTTGGGCTAGGCTGGCTGTGATCTCAAATTCTCCTGGATAACCTCAGATTTCTTTTTGTGGTGATGGTTCATTGGTGTGCGTAGGTGCTGTCAGTGCTGGGTCTCGGTTCTTACTTTATACAACATGGGTGAAGATTGCTGACTCCCAAACCCTTTGTTTTCTTCTGCTTTAATATGTCCTGCACCTATGATCCAGCATGTGTGTGTATGTGTGTCTTTTTCAGGATTCTCAAAGCAAGTACCACATGGGGATTTGCTACGAAAAGGGCCTTGGAGTCCAGAAGAACCTAGGAGAAGCCATGAGATATTACCAGCAGTCTGCTGCTCTGGGGAATGAGCCAGCTCAGGAGAGGCTGAAGATGCTCTTATCAGCACAGCTAGAAGGTACATTCAACCCCAGTCCCTCTGCATGCCTCACCCATAGGTCCTTAAAGGATCCAGCCCACGTGGCATGGTCAGAATGACAGATTTTTTCCCCTTTCCCAGAAATAGCTACCCCTATACAAAGGCCTAAATAGATCGTCATCCCTGGTGATGGAGAAGATAGTGGCCACTGGTAGTTCCTTCTTTATGTCAATTTTTTTTTTTACTATTTTATTTTATACCTCACACTTTGGTAGTATTGCAAGTTTTCCATATGTTGCCATAGTTCACATGATTCCTATAATCCCTACAAGGAATCATCCCATTTTTCACACAGAGGATCCTGTAGGTTGTAGGCCTAAGGTCACTTACTTAGTCAATGACAGAGTTGGGACTAGAATACTGATCTTCTGATGCTAGTCCAGTAATCTTTCTACTATATTACCAGCAGTCAGCTGCTCTAGTGTTCCAGTCCATGGTGGAAAGACCTGGTCACTGTGTTAGGACTTGCTGTTACACCCTGTATCTTCCTTCATTGAATGCAGTGGAGAATTATGGAGTAGCATGTCATCGATGTCAGGAGGATTGGGTTAGAATTGGTATGCTGGGGGAAGCAAATCTGTGTTGTGTTTCTTAAGATCCCACACATTAGGTGTTATAGTGGCCAGAGCACTAGGCTTGAAGTCAGAAGACCTTAGTTTGAGTCCTGCCTCAGGCACTTACCAGTGGTGTTACCTTGGACAGCAAGGTTATACCTTGCTGAACCTCAGTTTCTTCATCTGTAAAATGAGGATGTTGGATTTAGTGGCCTCTAAGGTCCTTTCTAGCCCCAAATATATGATGCTATGAATCTTTTTTTGCAATTTTGTAGTCTTAGAAAGTTGTTTATAGTACCAAGAGTTACACAACCATGTATGTCAGAAGCAGATCTTCAACCCAGGTATTCCTGCCTCTGAGGCCCCATCCACTGTGCCACACCACCTCTCAAAAAACACAAATTTAAAAAAAAACCCCAAGATCCTATTCATTGAATGATAGTTCCTATCTCTCTTCCTCACAGCTTTGGGGCATAATAATCCAGCACTTAAAGGTTTAAGGTCCTTCTCTAGCCCTTCTGTCTGTACTCTGGATACAGCCCTGAATGGGGCTACCCACCTTCCCCATGCTTGGAGCACAGGAAGCCTTGGACTTCTTGGCAGAAATGATCATCTGGGATCCAGCCCTGTAGCATCTAGTGTGACAGAACCCCCGAGTCCATACCCTTTTGAGATGCATCTAGTAAAACTAGGATTTGGATAAGGTAAGAATATGGTTATGGAGGAGCCTCCAAGAGGATAAACTTTGGAGTGGTTTGAGGGGATAGCAACAAAAATAGAAAATATGGGGCAGCTAGGTGGTGCAGTGGATAAAGCTCTGGCCTTGGAGTCAGGAAGACCTGAGTTCAAATCCAGTCTCAGACACTTAACACTTAATAGCTGTGTGACCGTGGGCAAGTCACTTAACCCCAGTCGCCTCACCAAAAAGCAAAACAGATATATATATATATATAAAATGGGATAGCATTCTCTGCTATGGGCTGGTTTGAAGTTCACTATAGAGAATTGGGAGTGATTCCCACCAACTGGTTTCAGAGCTTAGCAAAGTAATGTATATAGAATCTTTTCCAGTCCCAAAGGATTCACTTGTTTGGCTTGTGTTTTTTTGGTTTGAAAGAGGATTTCCAATCAGAGCTGTTCCCTGAACGTATCTGTTTAGACCCATGACAATCACTTCAGTCCCAAAGATGGAAGCTGTGGGAATCCTTCACTGACACTGGACACAGCCTTGGGCCCGAAGGAGTTGGTGCTGCCCAATCAGATCCTTCTGTGAAGACCTTGAAGAATCTCTTTATTTTCCCATGGAAAGTAGAAGACTGAGTGTGAGTTCTATGAGCAAGACAGTATGGTTTTTCCATAGCCTCACTTGGGACATTATATAACATTAAAATCTCTAATATTTAATAAAATCAGCCAATTAAAACGAAAACTAGATTTTCTTATCACTTCGTCCCCTTTGAATGTGAATGGGAGATGAATGGGGGCAGAAGAGAGAGGGCAGCCCAACCTTCATAGCTCAAATCTTTCTATTAGACAGTAAGTCACATGACTAGATATTGTTCCAAAGGGAACGCTTAGAAAGGAATGCATCAACCTTGTTCCATTGACTTCCTTATTTTTTGTTAACAGCCCAAATTAATGATTTTAATAATAACTTTTCTTTTTAATGATATTCATCTGTGTTTAATGAAACATATTTAGGTAAAAATCAAAGGAGTATGAATGTATATAGATGGCTGAACTGATTGATATCTAAATAGAGAACATTTTGCAAGTTCACAAGGGGTTTCAGGAAAAAAAAAAGATTGGGATATATTGTCAAAATAATCCTCTTTCACACTCCTGTGTTGCTTCAAGTTCATTTGACTGTCCACTCCTTCATTGAACTTTACTGTAGACCTCTCTCAGTAGTCCTCCCATACCTAATGTCTCCCAGAGTTTCCTGTGGTTCTGATGGCTTAGCTTCCCCAGCAGTTTTTCTAAGTCTTCTCACAGAATATCAGCTGCATTGGGGAGTGGGGTTATCATCATTGGATAGACTCTGCTGCAGCCCCTCCCCCATGGCTGCATCACAGACATCATTGAGACCGGAATGATTGACATTTATGTAGTACTTCAGGTTTGCAAAGCTTACAATTTACTTAGTTTTTTACTTAAAATATCTTACAATGATCTCATTTGATTTTCGCTAGGTAGATACTACAGGATATTGTCCCAATCTAAATGAGACTTAAGGAGTTAAATGACTAACTCATGATTATGCAGCTGGTAAATCTTGGAAACAGAAGATCTTTTCTGACTCCAAATCCAGTGCCCTTTCTGCTGCCTTCATCCAGATGGGTGTAGATAGCACAGACAAGCTAGAGACCTTTTAGCATTAAAGCCCTATTATCTGATGACTCATCACCAGATCTTGGAAAGGAAGGATAGGGCAGAGCAGCCTGGTCAGCAGAGCCTGGGCTGGACTTTGGGTGACAGTTGTCTGGCTGACTTAATTAGCCCCCTGTGCCTTAGCTTCCTTATCTGGGCTTATATTTGCCATGTGCCCACAGCTCGCCAGACTTAACAGTAAAAAAATAACAGGGGCAGCTAGGTAGTGCAGTGGATAGAGCTCTGGGATTAGAGTCATTGAGTTCAAATCCAGCTTCAGACATGTGACACTTACTAGCTGTGTGACCCTGGGCAAGTCCCTTAACCCCAATTGCCTCACCAAAAAGCAAAATAAAATGAAATAAACCCTGCCCCACCTGCCTAATTCCTTATGATTGAACTTCCTTTGTCTTTCCAATTCCTTTGGGGTTTGATTTTCTCAGGAACCCAAGGATGATTAACTGGCCCGTATGTCCTGTGACATACCCTTGACCTTGCCCAAACCATTCCCTCAGTCCCTTCTAACCCACATTTCTTTAGGTTGAAATCCTGCTCATCTTCCATCATTCATATGATGTCTTGGAACACTTTTGCCTTTCTCATGGCATTTGTCACACTTGGCATTACATTGAATTTGTTTCCCCATGAGGCTATGGAGAGACATCACTGTGAAGTTATACCTTACAGCCATCCGTCAATCAATCAGTAAACATTTATTAGCATCTACCATGTGCCAGGCACTGTGCTAAGTGCTGGGAATACAAAAAAGAGGCAGAAGACAATCCCTGCCCGCAAGGAGTTTATGATCTAATGGGATGGGCAAAGATGAAAAAAGATGACGGGCCATTGTTGGATTGTAGGAGGACGGTAACAACAATGTTCACTGCTGGTGGAGCTGTAAATTGGTCCAGCCATTGTGGAAAACAGTTTGGAGCTATGAAAACACCAACTCTGTGGCTCATTCATCATTGTGTGCCTCCGGGTGCTTGGCACCCATCCTTGCACACAACCAGTGCTCAATCAATGTTTGTTGGATGAATGACTGTTCTTTTAGTTGAGAGAGGGTAGAAATGAGGTTAATAATGTACAGATTGCTGTCAAGTTGAAATTTGGTCACAAGAATGACTGCCTACCAGTCTTCTAGCTGGCTCCAGGTGCCATCTATTGTACTGCCTGTGCTTGGTAATGGCTGAATAGCGATAAATAGTACATATGGCTTGCCATCCCAGAGGAGAATGAGTGCTGTCCTGGTGGAATCTTAGGGAGTATTGTCCAGAATTTTAGCTGTGACATCTTTACCTTTCTGTGACCCATTGCAGCCTACTTTCTCCCTCTAGGAGAAAAGGGGGTTAATATAAGAGATGTTTCCATGAGACAGGGGAGAGGAGGGGGCTAGGTGGGTAGAGCTCTGCACCTGGAATCAGGAAGACCTGACTAGCCTCAGATACTAGCTATGTGACCTGAGCAAGTTACTCAACCTGTTTGCCTCCGTTTCCATAACTGTAAAATGGGGATAATAACAGCTCTTTCCTCACAGGGTTGTTGTGAGGATTAAAAGAGATAATATTTGTTAAAAAAAAACAAAACCAAAACGTTTAATATAGTGTCTGGCAAGTAGTAGGTTCTATATAAATTCTTATTCCTTTTCCTCAGAGTGTGTATCCTATGTCCCTCTACCCCCCATTCCCAACAGGATAGATTTTTCTTTTTTTTTAGGAAATTGGAGTTAAGTGACTTACCTATGGTCATACAGCTAGAGAGTGTTACATGTCTAAGGCCGGATTTGAACTCAGGTCTTCCTGACTCAGGGCCAGTGCTCCATCCACCACGCCACCTAAAAAACACAGCTCATCCCATTTGCTTGCTGTGCTCTAGTGGCCCACAAGAGGTCAGAGGCAGAGAAGAGGTGAGAAAGCTTACTGCTAGAATGATTCAGCCATTGTGTTCTCCAGCACCATGTGTCACCTCTCAACCCATCCCCTCCCCCCCAGGGAGCCTCCTATACACAGGAAATCTATGCAGCTGAGTAGACAATATGATCTAATGCCAGCACTGGGCTGAGCTTCAGAAGACCTGAGACCCCATCCAGGCACAACCTCTTTGGAGAAACTACCTAAGTTTTAGAGTTTTTGTTTCTCATCTGTAACATAAAATACCACTTCACATATGCAAACCATAATTATCTTTCTTCCTCTTGACTAGGAGAATGGTTATACCATTCTCTGATCATAAGTTCTGTATCCCCAAAGAGGAAGAACAAAGGAAGGGCTCGTATCCAGAGGGCATGCTGCTAATGGAATTAAGCAATTGAGCTGCCTGGAAATTTCTAGGACAATGATGAGTCTTAAGATTTGCTATTTCATGGTTCTCTATATCTTGGGGGGGGGAAGGGAACAACTAAATCTATGATTTCATTAAGATAGGGAAGACCCAGGGAAGAAACTCCTTCTGCTAATGGAAATTAGGACCTGATCTGCAATTTATAGTCTTAGAAAGTTGTATGGGGGCACAGAGAGATTAAGTGATTTGCCCAAGGTCACATAGCCAACATGTGTCGGGGCAGAATTTGAACCTAGATCTTTCTGACACCCAGACCAGTTCTCTATACTTCTCTACACATAGTGCCTCTCTATTCAGGGGTGGGAAACCTACAGCTTCAAGGTGACATGTGGCCCTCTAGGTCCTCAAGTGTGGCCCTTTGACTGAATCCAAACTTCACAAAACAAATCCCCTTAATAAAAGGATTTGTTCTGTAAAACTTGGACTCAGTCAAAATGCTGCACCCAAGGACCTAGAGGGCCATATGTGGCCTCAAGACCGTAGATTCTCCACCCCGACCTACACACACACACACACACACACATACACACTCACATATAATTTTAGTTCAACACGATCAATAATCTTTTGTTAAGTACCTACTAAGTGTCAGACACATGCTAAGCACTGGGGGTACTAAAAGAGAAAAAAGACAGTCCCTGCTCTCAAGGAGCTTACAATCTAACGGGGGAGACAATCTAATGGGGAAGACGACATGCAAACAAATATATGCAAAGCAAGCTATGTACAGGATAAATTAGGAAATAATTGGCAGAGAGAAGGTACTAGAATTAGAAGAGGCTGGGGAAGGCTGTCAGTAGAAGGTGGGACTTTAGGACTTAAAGGAAGCCAGAGATGTCAATAGTTGGAACAGAGGAGGGACAGCATTCCAGGCATAGGGGATAAGAAAATGCCCAGAGGCAAGAGATGGCGTATCTTGTTTGGGGAACAGCCAGGAGGCCAGTGTCACTGGATCAAAGAGCGCATGTTGGAGAGACCAGAAAGGTAGGAGGGGACTAAGTTATGAAGGGCTTTGAATGCCAAACAGAGCATTCTGTATTTGATCCTGGAGGCGATAGGAAACCACTAGAGTTTATTGAGGAGGGGTGTGGCATGATAGGACCTGTGCTTTAGGAAAATCCCTTTAGTGGCTGAATGATGAATTGGAGTGAAGAGAAACTTGAGGCTGGCAGACCCACCATCAGGCTATTCCAATAATTCAGGCATGAGGTGACAAAGGCCTGCCTTAGAGTTGTGGCTGTGTCAGAGGAGAGAAGGGGTATATTGGAGAGATGTTGCAAAGGTGATACTGACAGGCTTTGACAATGGCATGGGGATATGGGGAGGGCGGGGCTGAGAGACTGAGGAATCCAGGATGACTTCTGAGTTGTAAGCCTAAGGGACTGGGAGGATGCTGTTACCCTCTACAGTAATAGAGAAGTTGTGGGGTGGTAGGAGGGCTTAGAGGGGGGAACTGAGTTTGAGTTTAAGATGTCTACTGGCCATCCAGTTCAAGATGTCTGAAAGGCAGTTGGAAATGAGATGTTGAAGATCAGCAGAGAGTTTGGGCCAAGATATGTAGTTTGAGAATCATCAGCATAGAGATGGTAATTAAATTCATGGGAGCTGATGAGATGATCAAGTGAAGTAGTATAGAGGGAGAAGAGAAGAGGTCCCAGGATAGAATCCTGAGGAACACCTATGGTTAGAGGTCATGATCTTGAAGAGGATCCAGCAGAG